TATGCATGTTTTTAGTATATTCACAGGGTTGTGCAACTGTCACAACAACCTGATTTTAGAATATTTTAGTTCCTTCAAAAGGAATTCCATACCCGTCACTAGTAACTCCCCATTACGGCCAACCACCCCCTTCCTCCACTCCCCAGCTCTAGACAACACTAATTTACTTTCTATTTCTATAGATGTGCCTATACTGGACATTTCATATAAAAGGCGTCAAACAATATATGGTCTTTTGTGGCAGGCTTCTTAGCGTAGTGTTTTCAAAGTTCATCCGTATTGCAGTGTGTTCTCAGCACTTCATTTCTTTTTATTAAGCTGAATAATATTCCATTGTATGGATATACTACATTTTGTTTATCCATTCATCAGTTGATGGACATTTGGGTTGGTTTCACTTTTTGGATATTATGGTTAATGCTGCTGTGAATATTCATGTAGTTTTTTGCCATGGACACTAGTTTTATAAACTTTTTTATAACTTTATAGTTTTAAACCTTATATTAAGATCTAACGTCCTTTTTGTTGTTTTTGGTGTGAGGTCGGAAGTTGCAAGGTAAGAATCCACCTTCATTCTTTTGCTTGTACATATCCAGTTGCCCCAGCACCATTTGTTGAAAAGACTCTTCTTTTCCCATTGAATTGTCATGGTATCCTTGTCAGAAAAGCAACTGATGACAAATAAAAGGGTTTATTTCTAAATCAAAAATTCTGTTCCATATACATCTGTTTGTCACTTCTTATGACACTACCACAGTGCATTGATTGCTGCTGCTTTGTGGCAAGTTTTAAAATTGGGAATTATGAATCCAACATTGTCTTCTTTTTCAAGATAGTTATGGATGTTCTGGATCTTTTGTATCTTCCTGTGAATTTTAGGATGAGCTTGTCCATTTCTACAAAAACAGGAGCTGGGATTTTGGTAGGGATTACATTCAGTTTGTAGATCAATTCGGGAATGTTATCTTCACAATATTAGATCTTTCAGTCCATGAATGGGATTTTTTTTAAGATCTTTAATTTCTTTTGACAGTTTTGTAATTTTCAGAGTATAAGTTTTATACTTAACTTTTTGTTAAGTACTTTTGTACTTACATACCCAAGTAATTTATTATTTTTGATGGTATAGTATTATAAAAAGAATTTTCTTTGTTTTGTTTTGATTGTTCATTGTTGGTATATAGAAATACAATTGATTTTTATATGTGGTTATTGTATCCTGAACCCTGCTGAATTCATTTAATAACTAAAAACTTTTCAGTGGATTCTTTAGGGTTTTCTATATACAAAATCATCTCATCTGCAAGTGGAGGTAGTTTTACTTCTTCCTTTTCAATCACATTACTAATTCAGTCTCTTTGTAATTGTTCAGGTGTTCTCTTTCCTCTTGAGTTGGATTTAGTAATTTGTGTGTCTCTAGGTGTTTTTCTATTTAATCTATTTTATCTAATTTGTTGGCATATAGTTGGTCAACATTTTCCCTTACAATTCTTTTTATTTCTGTACCATATATAGTGATGTCTCTTCCTTAGATTCTGATTTTAGTAATTTGAGTCTTCTCTTTTTTTCCTCGTTCAGTCTAACTATAAAGTTACCAATTTTGTTTATCATCTCAAAAAACCAAGTTTTGGTTTCATTGATTTTTCTGTTGTTTTTCTGTTCTATTTTATTTCCACTCTAGTCTTTATTGTAATTTCCTTTTTCTTGCTTTGATTTTAGTTGCTCTTTTTCTAGTTTCTTAAAGTGGAAGGTTTAGTTATTGATGCAAGATCTTTTCATCTTTTTTAATATAGGCATTTATATCTATAAATTTACAAGGGAGCACTGCTTTGCCTGTATGCTATCAATTTTGGTATGTTATGTTTTCATTTTCATCATCTCTAGGTATTTTCTTACTTCCCTTGACATTGATTCTCTCAGTTATTTAGGAGTACATTGTTTCATTTCTACATACATGTGAAATTCCCGAAGTTTTTATCTTTTATTGATTTCTAGTTTCATTCCATTGTGATTAGAAAATACACTTTGCATAATTTCAATCCTTTCAAATTTATTGAGGCTTGTTTCCTGACCTACCATACGGTCCACCCTATCGGATGTTCCTGTATCCTTGAGAAGAATGTGTGCTCTACTACTGTTTTGTGGGGTGTTGTATAAATGTATTTTAGATCTAGTTGGTTTACAGTATTATTGAAGTCTTCCATTTTCTTGTTGATACTCTTTGTTTTGTCCACTATTAAAAAGTGGGGTATCGAAATCTTCAATTGTGATTGTAGAAATGTCTATTTCCGCCTCCAGTTCTGTTTTTGCTTCATGTATTTTGAAGTTCTCTGTTGAGTGCATGTGTGTTTTTAATTTTCATATCTTCCTAGTAGGCTGACCTTTTAACATTATGAAATGTCTCTTTATCACTAATATTTTTCATTTTAAAGTCTGATATTAATATAGCCACTCCAGGTTTCTTGGTTACTGTTTGCATGGTGTCTTTTTCCATTTACTTTACTTTCAACATTATTTGTGTCTTTGATTCAAAAGTGCCCTGCTTGATCATTTGTTTATTTTCTAGTGATTTGGCTGAACTAATCCTGCAAAGTCTATTTACCCACCATGTGCAGCCTCAGCTCTCCCTGCTCAAAAATTTTATTTTATTTTATTTTTTTTTTCCTGCTCAAAAATTTTAAAATGTTTTTTTATCTTTTAGTAGGACTACCCATGGGTTCCCCCCTGGGTTGACATAATCTACTACTAATCAAAGTTTGTATTTTAGCCCCCTTAGCCAGTTAGATTTTTATTGTTTACTGTGGATGTATGTGTGGCTTGGAGGCTGCTATCATATTCAGAATGTTTATGTTTTTTTTGTCCCATGTTCACCCAGAGACTAGTAGCTTGGAGGTTTACTCTCTGGTTGCTCCAAATAGAGTACAACTTTGGATATGCACAGTCGTCTAGACTGCCAGGATTGACTGGATGTTGTTTTTAAGTTGTGGCTTCCTAAGAGTTGACCCTGAGCTCAAGTAGAGTATTTGTGAGGCTTCCCCTTGTGTTGATAGGTCTGTGTGGCTTGAGACATGCTTTCATGTCTGTCCTGCGTCTTACTCTGATTGCTGCTGTGTGGGTGCAAGGTAGTACATGTGCACAGGCTTCTTGACCTGTAAACTTGACTGTGTTCCCAAAAGAACCTTCTTGGCTATCTCTTCCTGCTTCTCTCTGTTAAAACTTCTGGCTGCTCTGCTGTTTTACTTGTGTCTGGAAGTGTTAGCTTCTCTTAATGGCTTTCCACTTCTTTCTTGTTTTTGACAAACCCATAGGCATGGAGTCTCCAAGTTTTGTTTCAAAATCAAATCATTCCCCTCAGGCAGAGCTGCTGCTGAGTTCTTTGTCCTTATGACCTGTGTTTCACCCTGAGCAGAACACAAGTAGTGGCAGAACCCCACTATACGTGAGCTGGGGTCAAGAACCAACTTTTCTTGGAGTAACACTCTCACTCTACAAGTGAACAGTTAGGGAAGGATTGGCAGTTCTTCATCTTAGCTTTCACCTACTGGTGTGAAACCTCTAGCTTATTGGTAAGCTAGAGTGGGGAAGGTTGGGAAGACTCAAGCCTTTTGCACCTAGAGCTTCCATCGTAACAGAGGGAGCTGGAAGAGTTAAGGGGGACATGGTTCTCAGTCACAGCTGCCTGGAATAGATTTTGTGCAGCATGGATCTGGGGAAGATGAGAAACACAGCCAGAAGCCTATTTTTCCCAGGATGAAACCATATTCCCAGTCTGGGAACTGGAGGGGAGAGGGGAACCCTTATATTGGCCTGAGTAGAATGCCCAGGATAAAGCTATAATGTGGAAGTAAAGGGGTGGGGTAAGGGATGCCAAAGACTCATTCTGTTCTTACTAGATTTGGTAGATTTTCTTGAATGAATGAATGTCCATTTGCTCTATGCCCTTAGGACAATATGCAGAGAATTTAAATGATTTTTTAAAAATCATTTTCACCACTTAAGTTGTTATTTTGCTTGAGAAAGGATTTACTGAAGTTCCCCTCAATTATATTTTATTACTTAGATTATCCTAACAATACATTGAATATACCAAAAGTTGCCTAAGTGTTCACCCTATAAAGTGAAATATTGCCATTAGTGAAAGCAGCTAAAATATCTTTGTTCATGATTTTAAGTTGCTGATGTTGAAACCCACAATCATGACCTTACAACTTCCTCAAGATATGTAGGAAAATCTGGTTGTCTGACTAACTTTTTAAAATAATTTCAGTTCTTTGGCTATGGTTTGTTTGCTTGCTTTCTAATTTCTACAAACTATAGTAGTGAAAACATTACCTCTGGTCATAAAGTTCATTAACCCATGCTTTGTTAAACCACACTAGACCAAATGTAGTGTGCCCTAGTTAACTTGGAAAGCCAAATGCCATACAAGAAATTTGTTTTTATGAACATTTTTAATTTGAAGGAGATCTAAAAAGAAAATGTCTAAGAGCTTGTCACTTATTCGATACAGTTCTATAATATTTGTGTATAAATTTCTTTTTTCTTATTCTGCACTTTGAAGAAATGGATCATTTCTCAGTCATCTCTGTATTCCTACTTAGTTTTATTTCTAAAACATGTCTATTTAACTCTGGTATTTAGCCACATTGTACAACAGGTAACTCCTCAGATGCTTCATGCATTCACACATGTCTTTCCTGATACTCTTTCTCCTCTTCATTTGTCAGATCTCACTTGCCTTCACCCAACTCAGTGTAACTTTCTCCTTTAAGTGTCTCTCTGTTTCTCCAGTCAGAAGTAATCACACCTCTCTTTTGTTCTACTGGCAAGTTTATAACTTTTCTAATTTTTTACTTATAATTACATATCTTCCTTAGTAGATCACAAGATTAAATTCATTTTCATCTTTTTATTGCCACGTACTTTGTACACTGAACTTAATTATTGGGTGAATGAATAAATTAATGATTAAATGAACAGTGTAATCTTTTGTTTTACAGTCGAGAGACCCACAAGATCGCAGTATTTTATGTTGCTGAAGGACAAGAAGACAAACATTCCATTCTCACCAATACAGGAGGAAGTCAAGCGTATGAAGATTTTGTAGCTGGTCTTGGTTGGGAGGTATTGTTCTTAAATAATACCAAATATCATTGTGTTTTTATTTGGAAGCATTGGTTTTCTATTTCTTCCTAGCTTATTTTAGAAGAATTACTTTAGGAGACTCAACAACGTAACGCCAGGTTTGTTATTGTTTCTACTTTATATCCTATCTGCAAGACAGAAACAGTTTGGACTTCGAAAGGAAAATTGTCCACTTTTTTTTATGAGTGAGTATATTGTTAGTACTAAACTCCTAGGTTTAGGAGATCTCGATTTTCCTCACAGCTGTGACCAGTAGACAAGTGGTCTTCAAACTAAGATATGAATATCTTCACTATACCAAGGTTTTTAAGGGGCACATGGCTTGGTTAGTTTTGAGGAAATTAATTTCCAGATCCCCTGGATTTTACTAAAATCAGTGCCTGAGAACTCTTCTGCAGTCTCTTGCCTCACCTTTTGTATTCTTCAACTCTGTAAAAGAAAGGCATACCACACACTCACCCAAATCCTACATTGTCCCAGAAGGTTTGTCACCCAAAAAAAGTTCATTCAAGAACATACAATCTTAGAATTGTAACTCATGGCGCCTGGGTGGCTCAGATGGTTAAGCATCTGCCTTCAGCTCAGGTCATGATCCCAGGGTCCTGAGATCGAGTCCCGCATTGGGCTCCCTGCTTCAGCTTCTCCCTCTGCCTCTCTCTCTCTCTCTGTCTCTTATGAATAAATAAATAAAATCTTAAAAAAAAAAAAGAATTGTAACTCAAAAGGGAGGTATCTATCATAGACATTTGTATTAATACGTTCAGTTAAATCGACATATGAAATGTCAGACATTTACTAACAGAAAGTGAATTTGATGGTGGCTGATTGATTTGTCATTAAGTTAATAGCAGGCATTTTATATGTATTGTATCAGGCAAAATTGCAGCTCTACAATTTGATGAAAATATATTTAAAGCACATGTACATTAACATAGAGTACACTGGAAATTATATCTTTTGCAGCAGTTTAAACTTGTGATGAAAATTTCTTACAGTTGTTAATTTAATACATGTTTTTTTTAAATTCTTGTAGAGAGTGCATGAGCAAAATTGTTGAAGACCACTGTACTAGACTATAAGCCCCTCCTAGAGGGCAGGCACTTTTATCTCATTTCATTTTAAAAGACATCCAAGTGCCTTGTACAGTATTAAGTACATAAGCCTTTAGCATTCTGTATATATTTTTAATGGCTTATCTTACATGCTATTTCCCTTTAAGTGAGTTACTTGGGGTCTTTGTTCCTATTTGCGTATTTGTCAAACGTAATACACTTTTTTACACAACAGGTATGTGAGGTTCAGTTGAGATTAGGTATGTGAAAATGCTTTGGAAACTATAAAAAAAATTATAAATAGATTTTCGTTTAAAAAAAAACACAGAACAGTATTAGTAAAAGCAAGAGACATTTGAAAAAGAACAAAGTAGGAGTACTCACACTTCGTATTTCAAAACTTAGTACAAAACAATAATCAAACAGTATGGCACCTGCACCAAGGATAGACATATTGATCGATGGAATAGAATTGAGATTCTAGAAATAAACCCATACATCTATGGTCAACTGATTTTTGACAAGTGCCAAGACCATCCAGTAGAGAAAGAATGGTCTTTTCAATACATGGTGCCAGAACAACTGGATAGCTACATGCAAAAGAATGAAGTTGGACTCTTACCTCACCATATATATATATATATATATATATATACAAAAATTAACTCAAAATAGGTTAAAAAAAACTAATTGTAAGAGCTAAAAGTATAAAATTCCTTAAAGACAATATGAGGTAAATTTTCATGACCTTGGATTTTGCTAAGGTTTTTTTTCCTCACCTTTATGGAGCTATAATTAATAAATAAAAGGGATTTTTACATATGACGCTAAAAACATGAACAGCAAAGGAAAAATTAAATAAATTGGATTTCAGGGCACCTGGATTGGATGGCTCTGTTGATTAAGGATCCAACTCTTGGTTTCAGCTCAGGTCATGATCTCAGGGGCTTGAGATCAAGCCTCATGTTGGGCTCCCTGCCCAGTTGTGGAATCTGCTTCAGATTCTTTCTCCCTGTCCCTCCCCTTCTTACCCTTCCTGCTCACACACTCTCTCCCTCAAATAAATAAATAAATAAATAAAATCTTCAAAATAAATAAATTGGACTTCATCAAACTTTAAGCTTTGGTGCTTCAAAGGACACTAAATGAAGTGAAAAGACAGCCTACAGAATTGGAAAAAAATAATTGCAAATCATACATGTGATAAGGGACTTGAATCTAAAATATACAAAGAACTCATACAAATCAATAATTAGAAAACAATTGAATTAAAAAATTAGGACCTGAATGAACATTTCTCTTAATAAGATATGCAAATAACCAATAAGCTCATGAAAAGATGCTTGACGTCATTATCAGAGAAGTGCAAATCAAAACCACAGAGAGATACTACTTCATACCCATTAGGCTGGCTAGAATCAAAAAGTCAGGTAATAACAGCTGTAGGCTAGGATTTGATAAAATCTGAACCCTCTTACACTGCTAGTAGGAATGTGAAATGGTGTAACTGCTATGGAAAACGATCTGGCAGCTCATCAAATAGTAAAACACTGAATTACCATATGATCAGAAATTCCTCTCTTAGGTAGATAGATACCCAAGAGAAATGAAATTGTATATCCAGACAAAAACTTGTACGTGGATGTTTATAGGAGCATTATTCATAATAGCGAAAAGGTGGAAGGAGCACAAATGGCCATCAATGGATGAATGGATAAAATATGATATATTCATATAATGGAATATTATTTGGCCATGAAAAGGAATGAAGTATTGACATGCTCCAGTGTGGATGTACCTTGAAAACATTATGTTAGATGAAAGAAACCAGTCACAAAGACATGTGTTATGATCCATTTATATGAAATACCACTGTACACACACACACACACACACACACACACACACACACACACAGGAAGTAGGTTAGTGGTTGCTTAGGACTAGTTGGAGGGATGAGGGATGATCAGGGTGATAGCTAAAGGGTATAGGGTTTCTTTTTCATGAAAACGTTCTAAAATTGACTCTGGTGATGATTGCACTTATCTGTGAATGTACTGAGGTCCATTAAGTTGTACAGTGGGAACTTTCATTTCTAGAAAGATCAAGGAGACATACTCTCTTTATTCTTCACACTAAGTATAACAAAACCTTGGACGTTACATATAAAACAAACATAGAAAGACTCTGAAAGGTGAAAAGGAAGACAGACCAACACAGGACCAAGGAATGACATGATGATGGGTTCTCAAGGGTTTCTCTTTATCTCCTGTATCTCCAAATTGGATCTGAAATAGCTGCCTAGAAACATCAACAAGCACTGACCAAAAGAACCCCAACAGAAGCCCACTCTTTCTAGCCAAAGGATCAGGAAAGGAATAACCTAGAAAGACAGAAAACATTTAGACAATAACTGCTCTACTCCAACCAAACACCAAAGAAAATACTATGACTCCCATCCCCACCCCTGACAACAAAGATCAGTTAGGAGGCCTAGCCTACCACCCTCATGAGACTGTAATGAGGCATCCCCAACACCACAGAAAAGTAGTATCAGATAGTGTTAGAGAAGGCCAACCAAAAAGCCAAAATTTTCATCTCTGTCAGCTGGTCAAGTCCCCCATCCACACCCCACACCACAATGTCAGTGGAGACTACATGAGAAACCTGGAATTTTCTCCCCACCCAGCATAATGAGGTGCCCCTACCTCTTCTACTGGGGTAGATCAGAGGAGGCCTAATACAGAAGTAGTCCTTTTACCATCACCCAGCAGTAATGAGACTAACCCTGCCAGTAATGACTAACCTTTCCTCAGTGGACATCACATAGGAAACCAGAACTCCTACCTCCACGTAACAGTAATGAAGATTTCCCCTCTGCAGTTGTCAGCTGAGGTTAAGTGGGGAACCTGTACTTCACCCTCCACCTGGCTATAATGAGGCAGTAACCACATTGCTTCTTTGACAGAGCTGTGTCACAAAACAGCCAGCTGAAACAGAAGTTTTAAATAAGATTCATAGTCTTATAATATGAAAATGTCCAAGCTTTGTTCAAAAATCATACCAAGACCCAGCAAGGTCCCCAAATGAATGAGAAGAAGAAAATACATAATAACACCAGATGACAAAGATTTTGAGGTAACCATAATAGAAATGCTTTGACTAGCAGTAAGGAGCACAGTTGAAATAAATAATGAAAAATATAAAGTCTGAAAATTTAATTACTGAAGTAAAAAGCTCAGTAGATATGCCAGCAACAGAATCAGGTAGAGATGGGGGTACAGAAGAATCAATAAACTGGAAGATAGAACAGTAAAAAATGTGAATAGCAGAGGGAGAAAAGACTTAAGGACAATGAACAGAGCATTAGAGACCTATAGGACTATGACAAAAGATTTAACATTCCTGTTATGTGAGTCCCAGAAGGAGAGGAGAAATAGTTTGGGTCTGAAAATTACTTGAGGAAATAATGTTGAAAATTTCCCAAATTGGCAAGAGAAATAAAGTTAATAAAGCTACAAATTAAAGAAGCTAGGTGAAATCAAACAGGATAAATTGAAAGAAATCCATGCAAGACACATCATAATTAAACTTCTGAAAAATAAGTCTCAAAAAAGTCTTAAAGGCATCTGGAGAAAAATTGTTCTTTATAAAGAGGAAAGTAATTAGAATGATAGGGAATTTTTTTTTTAAATGATTTTGTGTATTTATTTGACACACAGAGAGAAAGCACAAGTAGGCAGAGCAGCAGGCAGAGAAGGAGGGAGAACCAGGCTCTCCACTGAGCAGGGAGCCGGACATGGGGCTCGATCCCAGGACCCAGGGATCATGACCTGAGCCGAAGGCAGCCGCTTAACCGACTGAGCCACCCAGGCGCCCCTGAATGATAGGGAATTTCTTACCAGAAACTATAGTAGCCAGGGATGC